AGGCCGGGCGGCCTCCCCTCGGGCCGGGAGAGTGGAGGTCGCGCTTGGGCCCAGGGAGAGACCTGTCGGGGAGGGCTGCACGCCTGACCTTGAGCCGGCCGGGGCGGCGCGAGACCCTCTGCGCTGGAGAAACCCTTTCTGCACTCAGGCTTCTGAGCACCCGAGCAGACAGACACCCATCCCTGATCGTTTTCCAAGACAGCCTTCCTTTTACGCCTCGGAGAGGCTTGGAAATAGATTAATCTTTTAGAATGTTTTCTTTCATTCACATGTGATGTCCGCTTTCATAGAAGTCTACAGTTAAATGAGACCTTGAGGGCCCAGCTTTGGAGAACCTTGTAATTACATTTTCACGTTTGTTATTGGTCTCTTGGGTGTAATATCTTTATAGTTTCTTCTGTAAGTTGTTTTTTCTGTATGTATTAAGAGATTAACAATGTCAGAACTGCAAGAGATCTTAGAGATGACTTAACTCCCATATTTTTTAGATGTGAAAGGAAGAAAAATGACCTTTCCCCTTCAGCCTCTAAGGTCAGAGTATAAGCCCTCCGAAATGACTTGAATAAATGACCTGGTTTCAGCCTAACAATCCCTTGAATACCAGAGCTGGAGTAAAAATTCACGTAGTCTTGTCCCTATCTCCTCATGCGCACTGGCTCATTCCTTGTGCCTGGTCGCCAGCCCTTCAGCATGAAAGCGAAATGAAGTAACTGTCATAAATGTGTTTTACTCCGGTTAACAAGTACATGGGTTACAGTTGTCACTGAATCAAAAAACAAAAAACCTAAACCTGACTTCCTAAATCTTCTGTAAATAATCAACACTGAAGGGTCATGTGATAGAGTCCTTACACTGTCTTATTAAGCAAGTTAAGAATGATTTAAGGGCCGGGGATTTAGCTCAGTGGTTCGGGTGCCTGCCTCACAAGTGCACGGACCCAGTTCGATCCCCTGTACCAAAAAAAAAAAAAAAAAGATTTAGACATTTGCTTCTAAAGTACATGCACTGTGAAACTAAAAGCAAAACTCAAGGGTGTTTTTTCATTTGCCTGTGCTTTTCCTCACTCTACAAACACATATATAGATAACACTTCTTTTTGCAACTTAAAAGTAAGTTGCAGAATAATGAACTTTAACCCTATTTTTCTCAGTATGTGTCTCTTTAAGGACATTCTGTTACTCAACCTCAATAAGATTGTCAGACTAAAGATAACACAGTTAAATTTAACCCATTACTCCAGTGGTCTTTTTTTAATCTCAAATCTTTATATTTTGATTTAGGAGCCATTCAGGTTCACATTGTGTTTTCTTGTCATTGCTCTTTAGTTTCTTAATCTAGTGCAACCCTCTTTTATGAGATTTTTTTAAAAGACCAGCCAAGTTGTCTTTACCCAACACTGGATTTTCCTAGTTATTCCATCGTGATCAGAGTGCATCCCACCATTAAATATCTAATAGTGGGACCTGTTTGTTGTGTGATGCTTAGTTCAGGTAGTGACTATCCCATCTTTCCAGTGTAAAGGACTAGTTTTCTTTCTGTGATATGTAACCTGTTGAGGTGATGCGTGAGGTCATGAGAATATACTGTCCCCAACATATCACTTACAGGTTTTATTATTAATTCATACATGATCTTTGCCCAAATCACAAGATTATCAATTATCAATACTATTCTTTTGTTTTTTTTTGTTTTGTTTTTGTTTTTTTGCAACCAGGGATCGAACTCAGGACCTTGCGCTTGTGAGGCAGGCATTGGAACCACTGAGCTAAATCCCTAGCTATCAATGCCAGTCTTACAAGACAAGGAGCAACTAGAGTGAAAGCTGACGAGGACATGAAAAGAATCATTTACTGTTAACAAGCCAAATTAGGATCTGACTAGAGAGTTGGTACACGTCTGCATATGATGTCTTAAAAGAGTCAGGGACATCTCCTCATCGCATTCTTGTTGGCTTATTTTTTTCAACATTCAGAAATTTCTGGAAATTGTCTATGAATGATAAAATTCACCTAAAATAGTTTTCAGAGGACTTTGTTAGCTCTGTTGTTTTTCTTATGTAAATGAATTTCCTTCCTGTGAAGGAAATTAAAATTTAGGGAAGGAACTAGAAACATTCCATAAGACTTAGTTAATTGTGGGGGGGAAAAGTAGCAAAAAAATCAAGCATTTTGGGATTGATGGAAAAAAGATCAAAAGAGCTTGTAACATTTTTTTGGCTGTAGGAAAAATTTCTTCTGTGATTTTGTTTTTGTTTTTTTTTTTTTGAGATGGGGTCTCACTATGTAGTTGAGACTGACTTGGAACTATGTAGCCCACGCTGGTCTTGAAATCACAGTGATCCTCCTGCCTCAGCCTCGCAAGTGCTTGAATTACAGATGTGCACCACCACACCCAGTTTAAGAATTTTTTAATAGGTGATACTCAAAATAATATATCCACCTATAAATTATTTCCAGGTCTTGGGTGTGGTAGGGAAAATACTGGATTTTAAAGTCTGGCACCTTCATTAGGCCCCAGCTGTTCACAGTTCACAGTTACTATCTGTGTAAAGTTTCTTAATATTTCCAAGCTATCCTGAATTATTAGAAGAGTTAGTGTAAGTGTAGTCAAGGGTATGGGGAAAAAATGAGAACCAAGACCTGTCACGTAAAGGTACAAGATCCCAATGATGAATGTAACTGTACTGTGTACCTAAAAAGTACCAATAAACTCAATGAAAAAAAAAAGAATCCATGTAACATATAAAATTACGTATTTTTCAAAACTAACACACTTAAGAACTGTAACCCCAGAAGAGAGGAAAATAATTTTACTGTTGACGAGGATGATGGGGCTGGAGACTCAGCTTGATGGTGAAGTACTTGCCTGACGTACAGAGTCACTGGGTTCCATCACCGGCACCCCTGGGGGAAAAAACCTGACTGGTCACCAGTTGGAAAATAAAAAGGAAGATGCTTTTTTTATTAAAAAAATTTTAAAAGGGCTGGGGATTTAGCTCAGTGGTTATGTCACCTGCCTTGCAAGTGCAAGGACCCGAGTTCAATCCCTAGTACCAAAAAATTTTTTTTAAATAAATAAAAAATAATTTAAAAGTCCGAATGATGAATGTCACTGTATTATATACCTAAAATGCACCGATAGAAAGTATTTTAAGTGCTTTAAATTTCATCAGAGCTTGGAGACACGCATTCCTAACACCTTCCTTTTTCAGGTAGAAATCAGGCCTCACTGGAACCCTGAGCAGAGGTTGGACAACTGCTTCTCAGGAGCTCAGGAAACTCATGCGTCAGAAAAGGTTTGAGTTTGGCAGCCAAAACAAGCCACCTTTCCTCTTCTGCCATGTACTATACATTGTTTGGCACAGAGATAACGTAGTCCTGCTGTAATTCTTCCCAAGACATAAGCCAGAGGTTCTAGATTCCTCTTATCCCTTCTCTGTAGATTTCAGGGATAAAACCAGAAGGTAACCCTGATTGGGTATTTGCCCCTACAATAATATATGTGCTGTAATATCTTAAAACTAGGGTCAAATGAAGGGCCAACCACACTGCTGCTGTTCTCATCCTCAGGTATTTTGTGTGGCTGCTGGACTTTGCCTAACTTTTGATTAAATAACTGCAAGATGCTGAGCATGGGGCACATGCCTGTAACCCCAGCATTGAGAAGGCTGAGGCAGGAGGATCACCTTGAGTTTGAGGCCAGCCTGAACTATGGCCAGACCTTGTCTCAAAAATAAATAACTGCAAAATGAGTGATGAAAGATTTAGAAGACCTGAAAACTATCAAATAAATCTGAAAAAATTGCTCAGTCATCTCCAGTATTTTCTATCAACTATCTACAATTGTGTATGCTATAATCTTAATAATGATGAGTATAGAGAATAACTGGAAATTTAGGTAGATTAAAGAAAAGTAGATCTGGGCGTAGTAGGGCATGCCTGTGATCTCAGCCTTGAGGAGGCTGAGGCAGGAAGATCACTAAGTTCCAGGCCAGCCTGGGCTACATAATTCAAGATCAGCCTTACCTGTACAACAAGACCCTGTCTCAAAAAAGGGCCAGGGATTTAGCTGAGTGGTTCCACCACCTGCCTCACAAGTGAAAGGACCAAAGTTTGAGCCACAGTACCAAAAAAAGTGAGCTGGGTGTGGTGGCGCATGCCTGTAATCCCAGCACTTGGGAGGCTGAGGCAGGAGGATCGCTGTGAGTTCGAGACCAGCCTGGGCTACACAGTGAGTTCCAGGTCAGTCTCAACTACGTAGTGAGACCCTGTCTCAAAAACCAAAAAAAAAAAAACAAAAAAAAGTGCCAGGGACTTAAAGGCTCAGTGGTGCCACTGCCTGCCTCACAAGCACAAGGTCCCAGGTTTGATCCCTGGTACCAAAAAAAAAGTGCTATTAGCTATTGAGTTCAGGTGTAGATCTAGGAAATATCGGAATAAATATTCAAATGATTCCAGAGAAAAAATAAATCATAAGGTTAACAATAGCCTTTAACTAGTAGAACTATTTATTTTTTATTTTCCAAGTTCTCAACAGATAGGATTTTTAAAGGAGAGTGTTTAAGAAACAAGAAAATAATTTTAAAGGAATTCATATCAACACTACTGGAGCAGTCCTCATGTCTTCCTGTGTGTTCCCAGTAACAACAGTTGGTCACTGTGCGTTGTACAATAAGGAGGAGAAAATTGAAACTGTGGTGCCCCAGACACAAAATTACAGAACATCTAAAGATCGCATACTTTCTGCCTCTCTAGCCTCTGGCTCAAAAAGTCATGTTATAAATTTTTATCTGAAGAGATACAAAGTTAAGAATAAGAACAAAGCCAGATTTGGACATTACTATTAGTAATTGTCTAAATTTCTAAGGTTTTAAGTAAGGAAATGAGTTATGTTTTCTTTTATGATGTGAATTGTAGAAAGTCCAGTTTGTTGGTTACCCTGAGATTATAGGGAACAGACAACTAATTCAGCAATTCCGAAGGCTCAGGTCTAATGAATCACCTTTTATACTTTCAGGTAGGAGCCCATGCTGGCAAACTAGCTTCCTTAGTTTTATGGAACTAAGTTCCATGTTTTATTGCTTGCTTTGCTTCGCTTTGCTTTTGTTGTTTTGTTTTGTTGGGGGTTTCGCTTTGTAGCTCTGGCTGGCCTCAATTTGATATTCTCCTGCCTTAGCCTAGCGAGAACTAGGATTACAGGCATGGGCCATTGTGCCCAGCTTGCCCTTGTATTTCTGAAGTTCCAACAAAACAACGCTTTCATTCAATACTTAATTCCATATATGGTATCTTAGTAGTTACTAGATCTTTTCAGACTGCTGAGTAGGAATCCAGAATAACTATTTACCATGCTGCATCTTATTTATTGGGAGGAATTAGAATGTTGAGTGACTTCATTTTTTTCTCTTTCATTGAATTTTTTATTTTGGAATAATTATAGATTTATATGCAGTTGTAAATTAATAGAGATCTTGTGCCCTTTACCTAGTTTTTCACAGTGGTAGTATCTTACAAAACTAACGGTAATATCTTACAAAACTAGATTACAGTGTCACATCCAGGATATGGATATTGATGCAGTCACCATATAGAATATTTCCACTACAAAAGTGTCTCGTGTTGCCTTTTTGTAGCAACATCCACATCCTTCCTACTCCTACCTCTCCTTAACCACCAGCAACCACTAATACGTTCTCCTTCTCTATAATTCTGCTAGTATTTCAAGAATATTACATAAATGAGGGCTGGGGATTTAGCTCAGTGGTTCCACGGCCTGCCTTGCAAACACAACGACCCTAGTTCAATCCCGGCTACCAAAAAAAATTTTTAAAAATATTACATAAATGGAATCATACAATATGTAGCCTTTTAAAATGCATACTAAGTAAGAATAATTCTACAGGCTGTTTCTGTGTGGGTGTCTAATCCTTTTTATTACTGAGTAGTATTCCATGGAATAGATAGTAACAGTTGGTTTAGCTATATCTGCACAAAGAACATTTGAGTTGTCTCCAGTCTTGTAGCATTATGAATAAAGTCTGTAATCACAGCTTTTTGTGTGAACTTAAGTTTTCATTTCTTTAGGAAAAATGTTTAGGAATGGAATTATTGGGTCTTTGGTAGTTGTGTATTTATGTCCTTGGGAAACTAAGAATAACTTTAACTGTTTAATAGATTGTCTATATTATATTCCATTACCACCAAGAATATGTGAGTTTTTTCCTCCTTCTTGATAGTCCACAATTCCACTTATATTTTCTATTTAAAAACTTTAACCATTATTTTAGGTAAAGCAATGGGCACCGAGTTCTTAGTTTTGCTTCATTTGAGAATGGCTCAATTTCCCCATTACTCTTAAAGGGTATTTTTCACTTATAAAAAATTTATATATTGACCATTCCTAGCACTTAAAAACTTTTACACCACTTCCTTCTGGCCTCCATAGTTTCTGATGAGAAATCTCCTGTCACCCTACTTGTTTTTCCCTTATAGTATGATGTTTTCATTGACTGCTTCCAAAGTTTTTCTTCATTAGTGAATCTTGATTTAGATTTCATTAGGTTAATGTTGTTGGGGTTCACTTGGCTTCTTGAATGTGTAGGCTTATGTCTTTTGCCAAATTTGGGGGGCTTTCAGCATTATTTCTTCCCTGGTTGGGAGGGACTAAAATGCCTTGTTGCTGCTCCCCACATTGCCTCCACTGGCACTACTAGGCTCATCAACATAGGCCAGGAATACAAGTCCTGAATCTCAGTGAGGTCTCTGTTGGTAACTTGCTGGAGAAGAGGAAACTCAAAACTAAATATAATACATAGCATTTGTGTTAGTCTGTAGTATATGTGATTAGTATTCACATATCCTTCCTTTTATATGCTATTCAATTTCTATTTTAATCAGCTTTATTTTATACAAACCTTTTATATAAGATGTTCAACCTTTTTAGAACTAGCCAAAATAGAATAAATAAGAAGTGTGATGCTCTCATATCTGGACTAACTTTAGTCTTACATTTAGCATATGTGTAAATCTCATAGAAATTTTTTTTTCACTACCTTGCCTTCCTTTGTTGCCCCCAAGTAAGATCACTACTATTGTGTGTTTAGAAGTTTCTGGTATGTCTCTGTGATTGCACTTTTTGAACTACTGAATTTGTAACTCCTGTAATTTCCTTTTAGAATCTTCTAGAATATATTAGATTCTTCTGAATATATTTTATTAATTCTGTTAATTTAAAATGAATAGTGTTTTGGGCCAGCGATTTAGCTCAGTGGTTCTGCTGCCTGCTTCGCAAGCACAAGGACCCAAGTTTGATCCCCGGTACCCCCCACCCCAAAAATGAGTAGTGTTTTGTTAACAATAGAGATCTTGCCTTTAGGGTCAGGATTTAGCTCAGTGGTTCCACCACATGATTTGCAAGCACAAGGTCCTCAGTTCAATACCTGTTAACAAGAAAGAAAGAAGGAAAAAAGAAAGAAAGGTTGCCTTTTAGTAAAAGGATTATTAGTAGCTCAGGTAAACAACAAAAAGTCACACAGGGTACAGTTAAATCAGCAACCAGTGAAATTGTTACCTCAAGACATTTAGAAAGACATAATTTTAACAAGTAGAGTTTTTTGTTTACTTTGTTTTTGTTTTGAGTACCAGGGATGGAACTTAGGACCTTGTGCTTGCAAGGTAGGCATGGTGCTGCTAAGCTAAATCCCTGTCCAACAAGTAGTGCTTTTAACAAGAAACAGGGTAAAATGCCTTTTAAAAAACACTGGTGTTTCGGACAGGACAAGGCCTCTCCGGCCCATACCTAATGTTAGACTGTCTTACTCTAGACCAGAGTTCTGTTGCCATTGATGATCTTTGAGATTGTTGATGTCAGATAGTTATATACAGTTAGAAATTTATAAAGTATGAGCAGTGATTAGCCAATTGTTCAGCTAACCTAAAATATTTGTTTATATATTGACAATTTTTTTTAACTTTTTAATTAGGTGACTTAAAAATATACCAAAAGAATATGGCTGCACAGATATCAGAATCTGATCAGATAAAACAGGTAAAGTATTAAAATTAAGGGAGAAAGGGCCGGGGATTTAGCTCAGTGGTTCCAGTGCCTGCCTCGAAAGCACAAGGACCCTAGTTTGATCCCCAGTAGCAAAAAAAAAAAAAAAAAAAAAAATAAGGGAGAAGGATTGTTTTTA